CAGCTTAAAAAGAGTACGCCTGGAAAGGAATCGACTGACTGGAAATATATCAGAAGATTTTGGCGTCTATCCTAGCTTGAATTTTATAAACCTAAGTGACAATGAATTTTATGGTGAAATTTCACCTAACTGGGCATTGTGCAAAAATTTAGGCAGCCTATTGATAGCTAGGAACAATATCACTGGCAGAATACCACCTGAGATTGGAAACTCAACTCAGGTACATGTTCTAGATCTTTCTTTAAATCATTTAGTCGGGGAGATTCCAAAGGAATTAACAAAATTGAGTCTTTTAACCAGGCTTATTTTGACTGGGAATCAACTCTCTGGTGGAATACCAAGGGAAGTAGGATTGTTTTCCAATCTTGAGTATCTCGACTTGTCTGCAAACAGATTGTGTCAGTCCATCCCCGAGAGTATAGGGGATTTGTTGAAATTGCACTACTTGAATTTGAGTAGTAACAACCTTAGCCAGAGAATTCCAGATCAGATGGGCAAGTTATCTCAATTGACTGAATTAGACCTGAGTCATAACATGCTTTCAAGGGAGATACCGAGACAATTTGAATCTCTGCAGAGCTTGTCAACATTGAATCTCTCTTATAATAACCTCTCTGGTAACATTACCTTTTTCGATAAACTACGAGGCTTGACATATATTGACATAGCACATAATGGGTTGCAGGGTCCAATTCCTAATACCCAGGCATTTCAAAATGCTTCAACACAAGCATTAGAAGGAAACAAGGATTTGTGTGGCAATGTTAGTGGTTTGAAACCTTGCAAGCTTTCTAAGAAAAGCCACAAGTTACTCTACACAATCATGTTTCCTCTGTTAGGAGTGACTGGCCTTTCACTTGCTGCAATGGCTTTGTTCTTCGGCTTCAAAAGGCGGGAAAAAGATGCAAATGAAGTAATTCAAAGAAGTAAGAATTATGACAACCTCTTTGCAATATCGTCCTTTGATGGAAAATTACTGTATTCTGAGATCATAAGTGCAACCAACAACTTTGATGCTCAGTGTTGCATTGGAAAGGGAGGATATGGAAGTGTATACAGGGTAGAGCTGTCATCAGGTGATATTGTCGCTGTGAAGAAAGTCCATGCACTGCGTGCTGATGAAGTTAGGGCTGCAAAAGAATTCCAAAATGAAGTAACGGCATTACTAGACATACGACACCGAAATATTGTGAAGTTCTATGGGTTTTGTTGGTCTACAGAACAATCATTCTTGGTTTACAAATTCCTTGAAAGGGGTAGCTTGGCTAAAAATCTAAGCAACGATGAAGCAGCAAAACAATTGGACTGGGAAAAAAGGGTAAATATTATAAAAGGTGTTGCTCACGCCCTGTCTTACATGCACCATGATTGCTCACCACCGATTGTTCATCGGGACATATCAAGCAACAATGTTTTGCTTGATTTGGAATTTGAAGTTCACATTTCAGATTTTGGCATGGCTAAGCTTCTCAATCCAAACTCATCTAATTGGACCAATCTTGCTGGAACATATGGATATGTCGCACCAGGTGATGTAGTTCATAGCAGTAATCTATTGTTGCATGAAAGGCTGAGTATCATTCTATAATTGACTATTTATCTTTTCCTTTGCAGAGCTTGCCTACACAATGAAGGTTACGGAAAAATGTGACGTTTATAGTTTTGGAGTGTTGGTTCTGGAAGTTATCCTGGGGGCACATCCTGGTGATTTGATCTCTGCGCTACCATCTTCATCTCTTGAAATGCGGCTTCTGGTGAACGATGTCTTGGATCAAAGGCTTTTACCTCCAGCAACAGAAGTTCAGGACAAAGTAATATCTGTGATGAAGATAGCTTTTATGTGCCTGGCTGTCAATCCACATTCTAGACCGACCATGTATGCTGTTTCTCAGCTGTTATCTGACTGAATCTTCTCCTTCCAAGGATCATTACATTGATCCAAAGAAAGCAGGGATCCTGATACAAATCACAAGGATTATGGATTATAATAAATAAGACAGTAGCTCCTGCTCAGTTTCTCTATACTATCTTAGTTTTCTTAATAATTTATTTCTCTATACTATCACCAGCAGATTAGTATTTATGTTCTCTGAATTTCTTTTTATTGATATAGTTATGTGTATGATTTGGGCATTGCAATAAGAATGGTTGCAGATCTTTCTGACTATTATTAATTCTTGTCTTGTAAAATGCAGGGCATTTTTACAAATACCTAAAATCATTCGAGATCTTTGATGGTAATATTATATAATTCCAATATCGAAATCTGTTACACAAACTTACTGAGTTGTGCAGATTAAAAACTTAAACTAATGATTTGTTTCTTGTACCAAAATAATTATGACTGGTTTAGAGTTTAGATATAAATTTTCATCTAATAGGTAAATGGATTCATGTGATTCATGTCAACTGCTAATGATAAATGTGATACAAGCTAGAGAATAAACAGATTAATTGGGTACAGAGAGTCTGCCCAGTCTTTGAGTGAGGTAAGAAGAAGTTGAGAGAAAAGA